TATATATATATTAAAGATCAAATGAGAACAAGGATTAACGTGAGAACGTGACAACACCACAATTACCCCAACGTGTTGCACAATGAAGCTTGTATATCACAATTTTTCGTGTTTTCACAATATTTACCAAAATGCCACCATGTTTATTTAATGTAGGCTTAATCGAGCAAATTGAAAATGTGCAACAAAATAGCTCCATCGTGCACCACATTGATTTAAATGTGAGTGTTCTCACGTTCTCGCGTTAAACATCATTCTCACACTAGTGGAAAAATGCCAAATAGAGGCGCTTCATTTGAGGCGCTTTTCAGCCCAAGCACCTCTATTAGATGAATATATTTTTTAAATCGTTTTTTACATTAACGTGCAGCACTTTTCAGTGTAAAACGCCTCCAAATTTATTTCCGAATTGTTTTATATTCAAAAAATAAGAAATCGTGCGGCGCTTTACTCTTACAAGCGCCTCCAATCCGTTCACGATTTTTTTTATTTAAAAAAACTCGTGCGTGCGGCGCTTCCGATGCCAAGCGCCTCTGTTGGTCGAGATGGACATGCTGTTTTTCTTTCTTACAAAACGCGTGCACAAGTAAAAGGGCCTCCAAAAGAATGCTGCTTGCTAACCCTAGCCGCCTACAACCATTGTGCGATTGAGGGCCAAACCGTCTGAAGCTGTACTAACGTCTAGAGTTACTCGCCGCTGTCCAATGCTGTCCGTGCCGCTGCTATACTTTCCGGCTCGCCATCGAGTGCCTAACCGCCGTCGACTTAAACTGAGGTATTTCCTTGGACCAACTTTTCTCTTTTCCCTGTATATGTGTTGATGATTTAAGTCGGCATGCACTTGCGAACACGTTAACTAAGGTATTTTCTTAGACCAAGTGGTTGATGTCTTCAGATTCAGTAAGCAAAAGCGGCACCGAGATGGGTGAATGTTGTTTCCTATTCCTATATACTCCCTTTCTACGAAATGTTCTTCTGTTTTGCTTTTACACTGGGTTTTAGGCCACATGATTTTGTGGTTGAGGTTTAATTTTATTAAAAGGAGATAAATAAATTTCTTTAGGATTGCCCAAAAAGAAAAACATGAATAACATGTTGGGCCACAAGCAACTTCTTATCATGCCAGTTGTACATGGGAAAAATTATTGCATATCTTTGATTTCCAGTGTTCTTAAAGAAATATAGCTCTTTTTCCTGATTCTTGTGTTTCGTGTTCCTGGCTAACACGGATTTTGTTGCAGTTATGAAGAAGGTGTGCTCTGCTGCAGATTTTATTTGGTCTGAGGCTCCTCTTGACCTCCTTGGATCAGTTACATCCATATCTTTTGATGATGATCATGCTTGTTCATCCAGAAAAGAGAATGCTCTTACAACTGAGGAGGTATACAATTCCGAACTATATGGACTGTGTATGGTGTAGATTTCACTCTTCCTTAGTTTCATTCAATAGACTTAATTGTCTTCTGACTAGCACAACCGACATTAATATTTTGTATTGCTTTCTTAGTTCCTTTTTGCCTTCCCGGTATGCTTTTCTGCGTTTTAGGTTTGTGCTCAGCTTCCCAGGTCTGCACTTGTTTCTCATTTGTGCTTAAGCTTCCCAGGTTTGCGCTCTTGGTTTTTTGATTTGCGCTTAAGCTTTCTAGGTTGCACTCTTGTGTTTCTGATTTGCGCTTAAAGCTTCTTAGGTCTGCGTTTGTGTTTCAACTTTGCACCACGCCATCGAGCAAAGGGATTTAGTGGGGTATGTGATTAATATATACTAGTGGATTTCATCAAATAACTTACTTATATATAAATTAGATTAATACTATCCATTTTATTTATTTTATTATCAATGGTTTCAGGTTTGGAATTCAAGAAATGATCCATATTCCAAGGAATAGTTTGATGAAATCAGAAATGTTTGGGCTAGGTTTTGTGTAGATCAAGTTATGAATATGTTGGATTTTTAGACATTTTAAGATTTTAATGTATAATGTAATTTCTTTTAATTATATTGTAATGACATATTTGTAAGTTTATGGAGTTGAATTCTAAATGAAACAATTTGTACGTTTAATATGGAGTTTAAACAGGATATATACCATATATCCTGTTTTATTTACAAGACACTTAAAAGACATTACATGACCATTAAAAGTACAAATTGTTTCATTTAGAATTCAACTCCATAAACGTACAAATATGCCATTACAATATAACTAAAAGAAATTACATTATACATTAAAATCTTCAAATGTCTAAAAATCCAACATATTCAGAACTTGATCTACACAAAGCCTAGCCCACACATTTCTGATTTCATCAAACTATTCCTTGGAATATAGATCATTTCTTGAATTCCAAACCTGAAACCATTGATAATAAAATAAATAAAATGGATAATATTAAACTAATTTATATATAAGTAAGTTATGCGATGAAATCCACTTGTATATATTAATCACATACCCCACTAAATTAAATCCCTTTGCTCGATAGCCTGGTGCAAAGTTAAAACACAAATGCAAACCTAGGAAGCTTTAAGCGCAAATCAGAAACACAGGAGTGCAACCTGGAAAGCTTAAACACAAATCAAAAAAACAAGAGCGCATACCTGGGAAGCTTAAGCACAAATGAGAAACAAGTGCAGAACTGGGAAGCTGAGCTCAAACCTAAAACGCAGAAAAGCGTACCGGGAAGGCAAAAAGGAACTAAGAAAGCAATACAAAATATTAATGTCAGTTGTGCTAGTTAGAAGACAATTAAGTCTATTGAATGAAACTAAAGAAGAGTGAAATCTACACCATACACAATCCATATAGTTCGGAAGTGTATACCTCCTCAGTTGTAAGAGCATTCTCTTTTATGGATAAACAAGCATGATCATCATCAAAAGATATGGATGTAAGTAACTGATCCAAGGAGGTCAAGAGGAGCCTCAGACCAAATAAAATCTGCAGCAGAGCACACCTTCTTCATAACTACAACAGAATCTGTGTTAGCCAGGAACACGAAACACAAGAATCAGGAAAAAGAGCTATATTTCTATAAGAACACTGGAAATCAAAGATATGCACTAATTTTTTCCCATGTACAACTGGCATGATAAGAAGTTGTTTGTGGCCCAACATGTTATTCATGTTTTTCTTTTCGGGCAATCCTAAAGAAATTTATTTATCTCCATTTAATAAAATTAAACCTCAACCACAAAATCATGTGGTCTAAAAACCAGTGTAAAAGCAAAACAGAAGAACATTTCGTAGGAAGGGAGTATATAGAAATAGGAAACAACATTCACCCATCTTGGTGCCGCTTTTGCTTATTGGATCTGAAGACATCAACCACCTGATCTAAGAAAATACCTCAGTTAAAGTGTTCGTAAGCACATGCCGACTTAAATCATCAACACATATACAGGGAAAAGAGAAAAGTTGGTCCAAGGAAATACCTCAGTTTAAGTCGACGGCGGTTAGGCACTCGATGGCGAGCCGGAAACTACAGCAGCGGCACGGACAGCACTGGACGGAGGCGAGTAGACTCTGGACGTTAGTACAGCTTCAGAAGGTTTGGCCCTCAATGGCACAATGGTTGTAGGCGGCTAGGTTAGCAAGCAACATTCTTTTGGAGGCCCTTTTACATGTGCACGCATTTCGTAAGAAAGAAAAACAGCATGCCCATCTCGACCAACAGAGGCGCTTGGCATCGGAAGTGCCGCACGCACGAGTTTTTTTTAAATAAAAAAATTGTGAACGGATTGGAGGCATTTTACACTGAAAAGCGCCGCACATTAATGTAAAAAACGATAAAAAATATATATTCATCTAATAGAGGCGCTTGGGCTGAAAAGCGCCTCAAACGAAGCGCCTCTATTTGGCGTTTTTCCACTAGTGAGTGGATCATTGCTTGTGTAAAAGAGGAGTAATCTTGCATGTGGAGCTGGAATTCTTCATTATGATCATCATTCTTCTCTCTACCTCTCTCTTGGATCTCGTGATTATCTCCTCTCAACGGATCTTCAACTCTCAAACCTACTTCAGTGGCTTCATCAATGTCATTATTGATCTGCTCCATGTCTTCGTCAGGGGTTGAGACTAATGGTAAATCAAACGGATGGAGAGTTTTTATATAAAAATCACAGTGATCTCTGTCTTCATCCTCAGTTTCAACGTGTACCTCTTGAAATGTTTGCATGTATTGCATGGATTCTTGGCACACAGACTCGAGACTACTCTCTTTTTGTTGAGATTCAAAGAGAGAAGGGATTTCAAAAGCATCATGAAATGCATCGTCCATCATATTCCCACCATCGCAGTCTGACTCACTCCCATGATCATCCTTATTGGTCTCCTCAGGTTGGGCTTCTGCCGGCTGACTCACCACATTGATTAGATTCTGCATGGTCTGAAGACATGTTGCAGCCATTTGCGTAAACTCCTTGAGTGTTTCTTCCAGATATGTGGGTTTTATGCCATTCAGGCATCTTATGTTCCGCCTCCTCCAATTAATTATTTGGCTCATTACTCGACAAGGATGCAAGAATGACTGAAACATTTGTGCTCATAAAGTGTGGGGAGGAAGAAGTGGAGTATGAAGTTGTCTGGTAAGGATGGTCATATGGAGGAATATGGCAAAGACATAAATGGTGACCTCCTCCACAAAAGGAACAAATGCTATTCTTAGGAAAGTAATCAGTCAATTCCTCAGGAGTTTTAGTCTGAATAAGGTATTCAAGAATGGAGCCTAGTCTTGCCCTAGGATTTTGTGAATAAGGATAATAATGAGGGGAATGAGTTTGGGAATGTTGCGTATTTGGAGGAGGGTAAGAATAAGAAGACTGAAAATTTTGTGGAAGGGAAGGGTGATATTGGTGAGGAGTGTAATGAGGATATGTTGTCACGCCCCGGACCTAGCCGGACACGTCAACAACCCGCCGTACAGTACGAATAGTCAACCGCAGTCCAACTCATCCATACTATACAAGGCGTCATGAATATCATTCACACATAGTACATCCATAAACAAACATAATGTAAAACATGCATTTAAAACAACGGAAGCATTAGTACAATTGTTCAAGCCACACTTGGCATAACTAGGCATACAAGCCCCCAAAGTAATTATTAAGAAAATAGTATCCATGAGCATTAACTTAATTGTTTTTAAAACATAATGGAAGAAGCACGAACCACGTCTTCCTCCCTTGAGCCTCCCGAAGCAACGGGCAATGGTAGCAACTTCAAGTTCTACCTGAAACAGTGAGGTGGCCTCCCCCGTGAAGGGGAGGTCAGTACTTGGAAATCTTTGACAAGTACAATAGCAACTATACTAAGTATAATCAACGTTTTAATTTCCAAGACCCTCAAAATAGGGTGATATCATAATATAAATAATAATTTATATTTCTCACTTATTATCTTTATAATAAGTAGATTTATTTATTTGTCGGCACACGGCCCTTCTTATATATCCCTTTTCATTTATCATTTGCACAACCCAACCCTTGGGTCCTATTATTTCTACGGGACTTGCTACCGCTGTCCGAGACCTCATGAGGCTCCCGGTTCGGACTCCAACATCCCGCCCCTGGACTCATACCCATCATCCCGTAGGAAGGTAAGGCCCTTCGGGGTCCTATCTTATGTGTTACCGCTACCGGGACCTAGTTAGGTCTCCGATTCGGATTTCACCCTAACCCGTGATCACGATGCAAGTCCATGCTATCCAACCCCGCTCTCTAGAGTCGGGAAGGGCCATGGTCCTTACTTATTCCCATAATTCAACCGGCTATCCTCAAGGACCGAACACACCCGTAGGCCAATCCTATATCTAGGATCAATTTAATATTTACATCATCTTGGGTATCCCTTAAGGCCTACCCCTAGTATAACTTAAAGTTCATACTTTCCTACCTTAAAGCATCTCTTAAGACTACTTAAGGCATAACACTTCACAATCCAACCTTAGGATCAATCTTAACAACATTTCATTTTAATGTCCAACTAGTATCTTAATACTAGTCAAATTATTATCAACAAACCAAGTTCTCAACTCATAGTCATATAGACCATTCCAACTGATTTTCCTTTGAAAAATATCATTTATCTCAATATTCAAAATATCACTTTTAATCACTCATATATTCTAATATGAAGAAAAGTATATTTCAACATATGTTTCATAATAAATTCCACTTTGAAGTCAACATACTCATAGCACATGAACATACCCAATTTACTCTCAAATTTGTATATCATGCTCCTCTTTCTTTAGACATTTAGTCTTTTCATTTTTAGGCATTATTAATCATTAATAATCCATAAAAACACATTTAATTACCTTCGGTAATCTCATGAAATTAACTCACTAGTTATAAATAATATAGTCAGCCATCCTCACCTTATGAAGTGCTGAAATAGTTGCCTTTGTTAAGCCCTTCGATCAATCCTCGTCCTAAATCGATAAGAAGATGAAATTGGGCTGTCTGGGCGAAAGCCGGCCGGCTTTGGCAAAAGCCGGGCGATGTTCGTCAGCCTACAACACGAACAGCTTCCTATATGTGGCGGTTTCCGGTGATTTCGACTCCTATCGATTCACCATCTCTTCTAAGTTAAATATCACCACTTTATAACAATATTCTACATTTTTAAACGTGTAGAACTCATGGTTCAATCCACCATATGATTTCTTAAAAATCATACCCCGTAAAACTAGTTAAAAGAGTAGAAATTGCATTCTTACCTCTCCTTCTAGCTTTTCTTCTTGGATTTCCCTTTCTTTTGCTTCCTCCAAGTCCTTGTTGGTGTGAGCTATTCCCAGAGCTCCTCCTCCCTTAGTTTTGGTCGTGCAAGGCAAGAGGATAGGGGGGATGTTTCCTCCTCAATCAAGAATGCCAATAATGCCTAGAATGAGGCATTGGCATGAGGTTTTGTCTCAATGAGACTTCCTCCCCTTTTCTTGTCCGCACAAGCCACTTTGGCTTGTCCCCCCCCCCCCCCCCAGCTATTTCTTAGTCAGCTATCACACCTAAAAACGTGGGGTGGCCCCCACTTAGGTGGGAAGTCATCCCGTTATGTCCCGGTGTGTACAATCGGCCCCGAAAGTTGTATTTCTCGGCCCGTTTTAATTATATTTTATTTTATTGGGCCAAATAAAATATATCACGCGTTCCTAATAATTATGGGCCTTTAGAATAGATGTAAATTCCCCAACATTAATTTAGGAGCCTCCGAAACTCATTTCGGGTTGTTATCCGTTAAATTACCAATACCGGTAATTAGGCCCGTTTGACCAACCGGTCAACTCCATGCCTTTCTTATGGCCCAAATAAAATACCCACAACCATATAGATGTCATTTAGACCAAGATGAATATAATATGTGGTTCGGGAATTATCGGGCGGTCCCCGTTCCCGCTGTGGGCCCCATATGCAATTTACTATTCACGTAAAAGAAATAATAGAGATTTACAATCACGCAAATTCTTAAATCATCCTTCAAGGTTTATTACATAATTTACTAAAAGTAAATATGCTCGGGGTCGGTTTTACAAGTTCACCCCCCCTTAACGGGAATTTCGTCCCCGAAATTCACAATGCTCACTCAAACAAAAACGCGTATTGCTCTTTCATCAAAGCTTCCGTTTCCCAAGTTTCCTCCTCAACTCGGTCACTTTTACAAAGGATCTTAACCATTGGGACTTTCTTGCTTCTCAATTTCTTGACTTGCCTGTCAAGTATCTTCACCGGTTGCACGGCATAATTCAAGTCTTCCCATATTTCCACGGGTGGTTTTTCTAATACATGAGATGGATCCGGCATATACTTCTTAAGCATGGACACGTGGAATACGTTATGTATCTTCTCCAATTCTGGAGTCAACTGTAATCGGTATGCTACGGCCCCAATCCTCTCAAGAACCACGAATGGCCCTATGTATCGTGGGTTAAGTTTCCCTCGGCTCTGAAATCGAATGATTCCCTTCCAAGGTGAAATTTTCAAAAATACTTCATCTCCCACCTTAAACTCCAAGGCTCTTCGGCGCTTATCGGCATAACTTTTCTGTCTATCCTGTGCTGCCTTAAGTCTGTCACGAATCATCTTCACCTTTGACTTGGTGATTTCCACCAGTTCCGTGCTCTCGAGTTTGGCCATGCCAACCTCATCCCAACACGAAGGTGTACGACATCTCCTCCCATACAATGCCTCGTATGGAGGCATGCCTATACTCGCCTGATAACTGTTGTTATAGGCAAACTCCACAAGTGCCAAATTGTTGTCCCAACTCCCTTGGAACTCCAATGCACAAGCCCTCAGCATATCCTCTAATATCTGTATAACCCGCTCGGATTGCCCATCCGTTTGTGGATGAAAAGTTGTACTGAATTTCAGTTTGGTCCCCATAGATTCTTGGAACTTCGGCCAAAATCGTTATGTGAATCGCGGGTCTCTATCAGATACAATGGTTATAGGAACCCCATGTAGCCTCACGATCTCGTCCACATACAACTTGGCTAACCTCTCCAGTGTATAGGTAGTGTTGATAGGTAGAAAGTGTGCACTCTTCGTGAGCCTATCGACCACAACCCATACGGCATCATAGTTCTTAACCGTTCGTGGCAACCCCACCACGAAATCCATAGTCACGTGCTCCCACTTCCATTCAGGAATGGAAAGTGGCTGTAGTAACCCAGCCGGATGCTGATGTTCTGCCTTAACTTGCTGACAAGTAAGACACCTATTGATGTACTCGGCTATTTCCCTCTTCATACCCGACCACCAGTAACTTTCCTTCAAATCGCGGTACATCTTCGTGCCTCCCGGGTGCATGGCATATGCCGATGAATGAGCCTCCTCTAAGATGGACTTTCGGAGCTCATCATCCAACGGTACACATACTCGGTCACGAAATAATAAGAGACCATCGTCTCTCTCCCTGAAGTCCTCAACCGGTCCCGCTAGCATACGTTCACGGATCTTCATAAGTTCTTCATCGGTTTCTTGACCCTTCTTGATTTCATCAAGTAATGTAGGTCTCACCTCGAATCTAGCTAACAAGGCACCATCGCTAGATACCTCCAATTGGGCTCTCAATGCCCTCAAGCTAGTCAATAATTCCCCAGATGAATTCTTTCGGCTCAAGGCATCCGCTACCACGTTGGCTTTACCGGGGTGGTACTCGATAACTAGATGGTAGTCTTTTATCAACTCCATCCACCGTCTTTGTCTCATGTTTAACTCTTTCTGAGTAAACACGTACTTCAGACTTTTGTGGTCGGTGTATATATGACATGTTTCCCCGTAGAGATAATGTCTCCAAATCTTCAATGCGAACACCACCGCCCCCAGCTCTAAGTCATGAGTGGGATAATTTACCTCATGCTTCTTCAACTGTCGTGAAGCATAGGCAATCACCCTCCCATTCTGCATCAAGACACATCCAAGCCCTTGGATGTTTGCGTCGCTGTAGACATCGTACCCCACACCCTGTTTGGGTAGTGCGAGTACCGGTGCCTCGGTCAATCTCTTCTTCAGTTCAAGGATTCCCTTCTCACATCGGTCATCCCATACAAACTTGGCCCCCTTTCGAGTGAGCTTTGTCAATGGCGATGCCAAAACTGAGAACTTCTCCACAAATTTTCGGTAGTACCCTGCCAATCCAAGGAAGCTACGAATTTCCTTGACGTTCTTTGGCCTCTCCCATTCAGTAATGGCCTCAATCTTCTTGTTATCTATGACAATCCCTGATCCTGAAACCACATGCCCGAGAAAGCCAATCTCCCTTAGCCAAAATTCACATTTGGAAAACTTGGCATAGAGTTGCTTCTCCCGTAGTGTCTCAAGAACAAGTATCAAGTGCTCCTCATGCTCTTCTTCACTCTTCGAGTAAATCAAGATATCATCTATGAACACGATCACAAACCGGTCCAAGTATTTATGAAATACCCGGTTCATCAAGTCCATAAATGCCGCCGGGGCGTTGGTTAGCCTGAACGACATAACTAGGAACTCGAAATGACCATACCTTGTGCGGAATGCACTCTTCGGTATGTCATCCTCCTTTATCTTCAGTTGGTGGTACCCCGACCTCAAGTCAATTTTCGAAAACACCGTCGCTCCTCGGAGCTGATCGAACAAGTCATCAATTCTAGGCAAAGGATACCTATTCTTGATTGTGACCTTGTTCAGTTGACGATAGTCAATGCACATTCGAAGCGTTCCATCTTTCTTTTTCACGAAAAGGATCGGTGCTCCCCACGGAGAGTGACTCGGCCTTATGAAACCGTTATCCAATAGCTCTTGCAATTGGGTTTTCAACTCGTTAAGTTCAGCGGGTGCCATTCTGTATGGCGGTATAGAGATTGGTTTGGTGTCGGGTTCAACCTCGATCACGAACTCAATCTCCCTATCGGGTGGAAGCCCCGGTAAGTCTTTTGGGAAGACATCCAGATACTTGCACACTATTCTCACGTCATTGATGTCTACCTCTTCTTTGGTTTTGTCCACCACGTAAGCTAGATATGCGTGGCATCCCTTTCTCATCATATTCCTCGCCCTCACGGCGGATATGATACAACTGTTTGATTTGCCTCTATCTCCCTCGAAACGTAAGGTCAAACCTTCACCGCTTTCGAGTTCAAGAACCTTCGTATAACAATCAACCCTAGCATGATGCTTCTCTAGCCAATCCATCCTGAGGATCGCGTCGAACTCGATCATGCTCAGCGGTACGAAGTCACACGTCAAGTTCTGTCCCTCCACCTCCACCTCACACGATGGATAATGGCTATCTCTTTCGATATCATCCCCTAGAGGCGTGGATACCAATAGCGTTTGAGTCATCGGTACAAGTGGTCCGTTGAATCCGCTGGCGAACGCCTCACTCACAAATGATCGTTGCGCCCCGGTATCAATAAGGATCCTTGCGTCTCTCCCGTTTATCTTTAGTGTTCCTACATTCATAAGTAATGTAAGACACATTATCTAATTAATAGACTCGTTTCTTAAGTCGTAGGGTATGTTGGTTGTGGTTCGGGTGGAGTCCGTTCGACACCCTTCCGAAATTTCCCGGTTTCTAACCTTTAGGACCGTTCTAGGACCAATCCAGGTGAAAGCCGGCCGCTTTTCACGAAAGCCGGCCGGGTTTCGTCTGCGAAAAAAAAAATCCCTGTATGTAAATCACGAAAGCCGGCCGGTTTTCGTCGCCGTAGTTTTATTCATGGAATGGTTTCGAAGCCGGCCGGTTTCTACGAAACCCGGCCAGATTTCAGCAGCGCAAAAATCCCCAGGCCCAACGAAAGCCGGGCGGTTTCCATGAAAGTCGGGCGGCTTTCAGCTGCGAGAAATTCTCCAGGTGAGACATTTACGAAAGCCGGCCGGTCTTTACAAAAGCCGGCCGGTTTTTGGTTGCGAGAATTTTTTTGATTTAATGTTGACGAAAGCCGGGCGGTTCTCGGTGGAAGCCGGCCGGCATTCGTTGCCGTGGTATTATTCCCAATAAATCAAGACGAAAGTCGGGCGGCTTTCGTCAATGCCGGGCGGCATCCGCCCAGGGCGAGGATTCTCCTCCCCTTTTCTCCCTCAAACCCGACCAAACTCGTCGGGGTTATAAATTTACAAGTTCCACATTCCTATTGTTTATAATAAGTTAATATGTGAGTTTAAGGAATTACCCGCAACGGAGTCCGGGTTGGCACGAGCATCCGCCTCCGTCATAGCATAGACCCGAGCTTGGGTCCTTCCCTTTTTTGGATAAAATGTAAATATATATATCCAGAAAATAGCATATACAATGCATCAAAAAATTGAAAGAACTATCTAAGCTAACATGCTAACCTAAAATAGTATCTTTCATATCCCCCCCCCCAAACCTCGCGGTAAGGGGGGTGGAGAGTATTTTTTTTTCAGAAGTCAAAATGGCACGAGACAAGCCCTGGCTCATATCACAAAAAGTCAAGTAACCAAGATGGACTAGCCCATGGAGGGTCAGCCCATTAACGAGTCAAAAGCATCTCGTAAGGCACTGACCGCCGAACCAGTAAAGGCTCATGGGCCAGCAAAGTCACCAAAGAGCAGTATTCCCCAAAGCCCAGCTTCCGGAAGCCCTCACTCACAAATAACAATAAATTGGGCCATGAGCCTATGAAAGGCCATTACCCAGCCTGTAGCATATCCCAGCGGTCAGTTCCGCATCTAATACCTCCGTTCCAGCCTTCCAGGGACCGCACACTTCAGCAGAGCCCAGCGTCCAAAAAGCCCATTAGGGTTTGTCATGTTTCGGGTCAAAAACCAAAGCAGCAGCCCACGTTTCAGCGCCGCATCTCCCACGCGGTAGAATCCGAAATTTAAATTCAGTCAACGCCAACAGTGACAGCCTGTCCCACTGTCCCCTGTCAGTCACCTCGTAACCCACCCCCAATCCCAGCCACCCACCTGGTCCGGCGTCTCCAAGCTTTCTGATGACCGGCGACTGGTGGCGAAAGAGAACCAACCGGAAAGTAACGTCATTTTCCCCTCCCCCACCCCTACCAGGTCCCGACGATCACCCTGGCAGCATCGACGGCAGAGATGTAGCCCAGCCGGAACAGTAACACCTGCAAACCAAAATCCCCCACCTCACACCAACCCCCGTCGGGTCCCGGCAACACCACGACGGCAACGACGAGGTGTAAAGGAAGGGTAGTTTAACAGTAGCCAGAAATCACACCTCAGCGAGTCTCAGCGAATAAAACCATCCCAGCACAGTAGCAAGTCCCACAAGTCCACCCCGGAGAGTCTCCGGTTGTCTTCTCCGGCAAACACAAGCAGAGTCAACAAAAAACACTCCAAGCACAGACCTCATACCGAGCCAACAGGAACAAAGTTTAACAGGCGTCCACGACTAACATGGTTAACTACCAAAAAGAAACGTACCGGAGTATGTTCCAATCCAGCTCCCGACGAGGAAAGCCGGTGGCTGCGAACTCCAGAAATCCAGCCTTGGCCCAGCTGGAAAACCGTAACGAAGCAGAAAGAAGTGGTTGTAGCGCTAGTAATCTGCTTCAGGGACCCTTCACCAATAGCTGCCATGAAAGAACATAACCACCCTTGGTAAGAACCAGTAGGTCCCAAACCAAACTGGGAGACTGAATCGTGGTGAACTAGCGTGCCCTCCACTTGTCCCCCGTCTTCATCAGCCAACCCCAACCAACTCCAACGCCATGTCCGAAGACGGTAAAACTGTGCACGCCGGACGGTTTTCACCGTGGTTGTGAATGGAAAGGGGAAGATGTGTGTGATACGCGGCAGTCCTCGTCCGAAGTATAAACTAGTGGAACAAGTTCCACCAGACCCCTGCTTGCCATATCTTCCTGCATCTCCTTGTTCCTGCAGCTCCATGGAGTCCGGCCATGGATAGCCACCAGGCACCAACACGACCGGCAAGTAGAAGACTCACACGGCCAGTAGGCACAACCCACGGGAACGAACCATACACTTTCCAAACCCAAACAAGAACCTCCCACCTCAGTGAGATTTTTTCCAAAAATCCTTAATGAACATCAACCAACCCATCCCACCGGAGCCAGGAGGGCTCCGGCGCCGGCGACCACCGCGAGTGGCGGCCCCGGAGGGTAGTAGAGCAACCTAGAAGTTTTCTAGTGAGAGAAACAGCTCTCAACTCTCACTGCCCCTTAGCTTGGGTCGTTCCTTGATTTACGGATAGCGCGTAGCTGGCACTCGCCCCACCGTGCCCACCGCTAGCATTTGGTGTTCCGGTTCGGTTCCTGCTCACCGTCGTTGCACTACTTGGTCCGGCCCCCATGGCTCGCCCAAGTTGTGGGCAACTCACCTTCAAATGTCCGACCTCCCCGCATTGATAACACCTCGGGGGATCGCGGCACTTGCCAAAGTGGTTCCTCTTGCAATTGCTGCACTTCTTCACGCCTGAGCCTTGTGACACAGAGCTTTGCCCACTCGGGCCTTGATTTCCCCTTACCGGTGGTGCAGGGGTTTTGAAAGATCTGCCTCCCCCGTGGTTCCCCTTCTTGTTAGAACCTTGAGGGTCATGGTTCTCCCATTTTCTTTTCTTTGCCTCCTCGGCATTCCTTCGTTTTCTTTCCTCCCACTCTTTCTCCCCTTTAGGGCCTTGTTCAACCACTTGACTAAACGTCATATTATGTAATTGTGTTACCCTCGACCCTCCCCGGCTGCCACGTTGGGATCCTCCCGGTGTCTGGCCAGTCGGGTTCCGTCGAGTAACTTTCCCGGTACGTTCCATTTCTGAAAGAAATTTAGAATGAGTCATTAGACTTGTATCAAATGTCAATTGACGGATAGGCACTTAAAGACATCCTTTGGCTCAAATCACCGCCATGCCAATTGTTAAGGGTACCATCTTAACAATTAGAGACATTGCAATTCAAGTACCAAAAGTTCTATAAGTACAAAACTTTATGCTCATGGTTTTCAATTTCATTTTCAAAAAGAATTTTGAAGCTTCATTATGATGTTTACGGACTAAGGCTCTGATACCAATTAAATTGTCACGCTCCGGACCTAGCCGGACACGTCAACAACCCGCCGTACAGTACGAATAGTCAACCGCAGTCCAACTCATTCATACTATACAAGGCGTCATGAATATCATTCACACATAGTACATCCATAAACAAACATAATGTAAACCATGCATTTAAAACAACGGAAGCATTAATACAATTGTTCAAGCCACACTTGGCATAACTAGGCATACAAGCCCACAAAGTAATTATTAAGAAAATAGTATCCATGAGCATTAACTTAATTGTTTCTAAAACAGAACGGAAGAAGCACGAACCACGTCTTCCTCCCTTGAGCCTCCCGAAGCAACGGGCAATGGTAGGAACTTCAAGATCTACCTGAAACTGTGAGGTGGCCTCCCCCATGAAGGGGAGGTCAGTACATGGAAATATTTGACAAGTACAATAGCAACTATACTAAGTATAATCAACGTTTTAATTTCCAAGACCCTCAAAATAGGGTGATATCATAATATAAATAATAATTTATATTTCCCACTTATTATCTTTATAGTAAGTAGATTTATTTATTTGTCGGCACACGGCCCTTCTTATATATCCCTTTTCATTTATCATTTGCACAACCCAACCCTTGGGTCCTATTATTTCTACGGGACTTGCTACCGCTGTCCGAGACCTCATGAGGCTCCCGGTTCGGACTCCAACATCCCGCCCCTGGACTCATACCCATCATCCCGTAGGAAGGTAAGGCCCTTCGGGGTCCTATCTTATGTGTTATCGCTACCGGGACCTAGTTAGGTCTCCGATTCGGATTTCACCCTAACCCGTGATCACGATGCAAGTCCATGCTATCCAACCCCGCTCTCTAGAGTCGGGAAGGGTCATGGTCTTTACTTATTCCCATAATTCAACCGACTATCCTCAAGGACTACCGAACACACCCGTAGGTCAATCCTATATCTAGGATCAATTTAATATTTACATCATCTTGGGTATCCCTTAAGGCCTACCCCTAGTATAACTTAAAGTTCATACTTTCCTACCTTAAAGCATCTCTTAAGACTACTTAAGGCATAACACTTCACAATCCAACCTTAGGATCAATCTTAACAACATTTCATTTTAATGTCCAACTAGTATCTTAATACTAGTCAAATTATTATCAACAAACCAAGTTCTCAACTCATAGTCATATAGACCATTCCAACTGATTTTCCTTTGAAAATATCATTTATCTCAATATTCAAAATATCACTTTTAATCACTCATATATTCTAATATGAAGAAAAGTATATTTCAACATATGTTTCATAATAAATTCCACTTTGAAGTCAACATACTCATAGCACATGAACATACCCAATTTACTCTCAAATTTGTATATCATGCTCCTCTTTCTTTAGACATTTAGTCTTTTCATTTTAGGCATTATTAATCATTAATAATCCATAAAAACACATTTAATTACCTTCGGTAATCTCATGAAATTAACTCACTAGTTATAAGTAATATAGTCAGTCATCCTCACCTTATGAAGTGCTGAAATAGTTACCTTTGTTAAGCCCTTCGATCAATCCTCGTCCTAAATCGATAAGAAGATGAAATTGGGCTGTCTGGGCGAAAGCCGGCCGGCTTTGGCAAAAGCCGAGCGATGTTCGTCAGCCTGCAGCACGAACAGCTTCCTATATGTGGCGGTTTCCGGCGATTTCGACTCCTATCGATTCACCAACTCTTCTAAGTTAAATATCACCACTTTATAACAATATTCTAAACTTTTAAACGTGTAGAACTCATGGTTCAATCCACCATATGATTTCTTAAAAATCATACCCCGTAAAACTAGTTAAAAGAGTACAAATTGCATTCTTACCTCTCCTTCTAGCTTTTCTTCTTGGATTTCCCTTTCTTTTGCTTCCTCCAAGTCCTTGTTGGTGTGAGCTATTCCCAGAGCTCCTCATCCCTTAGTTTTGGTCGTGCAAGGCAAGAGGATAGGGGGGATGTTTCCTCCTCAATCAAGAATGCCAATAATGCCTAGAATTAGGCATTGGCATGAGGTTTTGTCTCAATGAGACTTCCTCCCCTCTTCTTGTCCGCACAAGCCACTTTGGCTTGTCCCCCCCAGCTATTTCTTAGTCAGCTATCACACCTAAAAACGTGGGGTGGCCCTCACTTAGGTGGGAGGTCATCCCGTTATGTCCCGGTGTGTACAATCGGCCCCGAAAGTTGTATTTCTCGGTCCGTTTTAATTATATTTTATTTTATCGGGCCAAATAAAATATATCACGCATTCCTAATAATTATGGGCCTTTAGAATAGATTTACATTCCCCAACATTAATTTAGGAGCCTCCGAAACTCATTTCGGGTTGTTATCCGTTAAATTACCAATACCGGTAATTAGGCCCGTTTGACCAACCGGTCAACTCCATGCCTTTCTTATGGCCCAAATAAAATACCCACAACCATATAGATGTCATTTAGACCAAGATGAATATAATATGTGGTTCGGGAATTATCGGGCGGTCCCCGTTCCCGCTGTGGGCCTCATATGCAATTTACTATTCACGTAAAAGAAATAATAGAAATTTACAATCACGCAAATTCTTAAATCATCCTTCAGGGTTTATTACATAATTTACTAAAAGTAAATATGCTCGGGTCGGTGTTACATATGTTGTATATGATGAAAATTCCATGGAGAGTTGAGGGTGAGGTGTTCCTCCATGAATCGGGCTGAAAGGGTTCATCTCATACTCTTTGAAAATGTACCTGAAAGGTTAGCACAGAAAAATTCTACGAAAACCTAAAAAAACTAACTAAAAAAATATCGTTGAAATTAATTAACCCTTAAAACCGGCACCGTCCCCGGCAACGGCGCCAAAAACTGATGTGAGTTTTCTCGCACTTAAAATACGTAGTAATATAGGGTACAAGTACGAGTATCGTCTCCACAGGGACGGACAAAAGGGAATTAAGAATTAATTAAATTCAGTGATTGAAAAGAAATAAAAAAAAATGCTATGTGCGAGATTTGACTGACTGGAAAATTAAATTGCGAAAAAAGAAATTAAACTAATGAGTCCTTTCTAATTAATGACGAAGGGAAAAGAGATTGATTCCAGAGTAATCAGATTTCTGACTGATCAGACTTTTTTTTGGACGTAAACTTGCCTCTATTCATATCATAAGTTTCAGGATCATTACATCAATGAAAGGAAAAACAAATCTGACACCAACTAAACTCCAACAACTATGACTGTAAACCCTATGGCCAGACTTAGAGACGGTCACCCCTGAAAGAGCAACGCGAATCGCTAACCATGCAGCAGGCTTGACACAACCATCTCTGTTCCCATAGATCCAAACATACCCAATGACATAGAAGGAGGCTAACTTCCCAAACAAACTAATAGGAGGAGGACGAAACATGAAAAAAACTAAATAAGCAAAACAAGCATCTTGAACCCTAGCACCTCGTCCATCCCATGGCGGTGGTTCTGGATGAGGCCGGACCATCGCTATGATTGTTGACACAAACAAGGCACAGCTCCCGCCCGTCGCTCGATTGATTCTTTGACACGCAACCTCAGTTTGCCCTGCAATTTCAGCCCCTCTGGACGCCTCCCTTTCTCCCTCCCTTGGCTCCCGCAACTCCTTCTCCATCGGCCGCCACAACACGTCTAGCGATATTCTTACGAACAATTCCTACTCTGCAAACCTAATTGTTGCTCCAAAGGACGACTAAATCTAAACGCCGCACACAAGACGGCAAAAACAGGAATCCTTATTCAAGGGAGACGGCCGCAGGTCTATTGGCTAATCAAGCTTAATTACATGAAATTAATTTAATTGAGCACGTTAGTCAATACTAAGTTCTAACCGCTCTCGCGGCTTAGAATACAATAATTTAGGGAACCAGACTAATCTCTCATGTGACAGGTATCTAAAATAATTGCCAAAACGAGCGAGCGTATGGCCCCTTAACCGTCACTAATCTCTTAGCGAACGAATAAGTGTGTGTGAAGGTGTCGTAGAATAAACTAGATCTCTCTTAACTTATTCTAAAAGCAATTGTAATTCTAGTGGCCATTCTAGGTTACAAAAGATATCAATTAAATTATTCAAACATAAATTAAATAACATTCATGCAATTAATCCATCATGAAT